AGCCTGCCCCGGGGAAGGGATTTCCTGGGCAATGCTTTATTCGTGTCCCCCTGAGTGCTGCTGCTCCTCAGATGCTGCTCCTGCTTCTCTGCTGGCTGAGTGCTGCTGCCCCAGGGGTCCCTCGACCAGGCTGCCTGCCACAGCAACTCTGCCTGTAAGTAATTTGTGTGTTTCTTGTACTCCTCAAATGTTATTGCAATGTTGTAACAGCAGCTTTGGTCCTCGATATTCGCGTGGTTCAGGCACCCAGGTCTGTCAGAACGTGCTGCTGTGAGCAATGGGGGGAGGAGAAATACACACTGATCAAAAATGAGTCTTTTGCTGTTAGATTCCTAGACGAGCACTAGGCTTCTCTCTGCAAGTGTACCTGGTTATCACCAAAGGCCCCTGAATCCTCTGTGATAGGCAGCAGCTTTATAACTCATCTGTCATGGCACTGCTCAACCCAGTTCAATGTCCTCAGGTGGCAATGCCACACAGCTGCTATCTCTGCTCGTCCCAGCTGGTGAGGTGTGTCTGCACTAGTGTGAGCCTCAGGAGTATCTTGACTTAAATCATATAGTCATAGTCTAGAAGAATCCTCAGGGGTGCTTCTCCTTCCTGCAGCTGCACAGTGCAGACATAAACACCTCTAACACGTAGGTGTATCTGGATCAAGCAGTGAAGCCCCAGCCAAGCATTTTGGGATGCAGTGTCCCTCTCCCTGTTTGCCCACAGGGAAGGTACTGGGCTTTGGGAGGGTATTTCCATGTCTCTGGGAGAAGCTGCATGCCTGGCCCTGGTCACTGATGGGCTCTGGTCTGTGCAGCAGTCAGAACTGGAAACTCCTGGAGGATGGTGGGGATGAATCAGGTGTGAGCCTCACCCTGTGGTATCCCACCATACCAGGCAGAGGCTTGTAAACATCTTAAACTATTATAAATACCCTTACTAATGAGGTAAGCTTGTGTACTTAGTTTAAAATCTTATGTCCTGGGGAAGAGGTTAGAACAAACAGTAACTGGTGCAGGCAGAGACTCTGTGGAGGCGGCTTCCTTGTGGAGCGGCTGGGACACCGTGTTCAGAGCTGTGAGCAGGGTTGGTGTGTTCTTCCTCCAGTTCCATAAATCACAGCTTTTAGTGAACACAACCTCAGGGGACCCTCAGTAAGCCTCTCCTACAAGACTCCATGCTTAAGTCATAGTTGCTAATTCCAGGACTGGAACTGTGATCTTGCAGAAACAGGCACTTGGCAGCCTAGGTTTAGCTCAGGGCACAGAGGCACTTCAGCAAGCGTGCTTCCAGCTCACGTGTGCTTAGAGCACCTTCATCTCTTTTAGGAGAGCTCTGGAAGCTTCTGTCCAGTAGCACAAACCACACCTTAAAATCTCAGCCTGGAATGCTGTGCTGACAAGCATGGCAAAATGGAAAGCATTAACTGTATGCTGTAGATAAAGAGGGGCAGGTAAGTATAGAACAGTTGGTAGCAGGCCAGCCCCTGTGGGTGAGATGCTTTATTTATGGAGAAACCAAACAGGATTATAGTATTTTGGTTATTTCCATGTTTGTACTGTGGCAGCCACAGGAAGTCCTGGTTATGGACTGAGACTCGAGTCTGCTAGCTGTGATACAAACGTGGGCCAGGGAAGAAATCCAGAGACCATACAGGCTGAAAAGCCAAGTGTTCTAAAAAAACAACCAACCAACCAAAACAAACAAACAAAATCTCTGGAAGTTGGCAACAGTTATGAAAGGAAATTTATTCAGGATCACCTTGTACTCCTCATCACCTTTTCTAAGTCGTTGTACAGCTCTGGGTAGTGCCTAGTGCAAGGGGAATCATTTTTGCCTGTGGTTTGGGGGTGCTTCTGCTGCATAAGCAAGCACATAGGAGCCAGACCTGTACTGGGAACAGATCTGGGCCTTTCCTTCAGCTCGGGGACACCAAAGTCTTCCAGTGCAGGGCTTGAGGCATAGGTGTCCTAGAAAACCAAGTGTCATGGTGACACTGAGGCTGCTCAGTGCTCAGCACAGGGGAATGGAGCAGGTCAGTAAATACTCTGTAGTACAACATCCTGCCCCCAGTAGAAACTTCTGTTCTGTACTGCTGCAGGGGATTAATAATAATGAAAACCAAAACCCACCCAACCTCTCCAATACCAGTGCCCAGCCATGGAGTAAATGACCAAATTCCTCCTCAGTGAATTAGAAATTTCCACTTTCCTCTTGCCTGTTCTGATTTCCTCTGTCTGTTGCCTTTGTGTTGTCTCCTTTTTAGAAGAGCTTCTAACCCAGTGAATTTCAATCATTTCTTTGTGTCTTTCTGCCTTCCCTTGCTTTCTACTTCTGCTCCTGTCAGGCAATCTTGCAGCTGTTGCATCCCCTTTTCCTGCTGGCTGGGGGCGGTGTCAGCCGGTGCGGCAGCGCTGCGGGTGCCCTCGGCGCGGTGCCTCCCCTGCCCGGGGCGTGTGAAAGGAGTTACAGCATCAGTTACACTCCCCACAGAGCTGCCCGGGCAGAGCGTGTTCCTGGATGGTGTGCCCCCAGCTCTGCCCAGCCCCCTGAGCAGCACACTGCTGCTGTGCTGCTTTGCTCAGCTCTCCTCTGAGCGTGGTGACAGCCCCAGCCTGCAAACAGCTTCCACCCAGCTCAGCAACAGCCTGCAGGGCAGATTATCCCCTTCCCTCCTGACTCCACACTCACTGGGAATGGCCCCAGCAATTTTCCTGCCACGTCGTCACAAGGCTGTAGAATAATCATTTCCTTCATCAGTCAGAGCTGTTAAGCACATGCTTTAAAATCACAGCTCTCTGCATCCATCCCACTGGTTTTTGGCTGGGGGTCTGCCAGGAAAGGTCCCAGTGAGAGGAGTGCTGTGGGCCCCAACAGGAAACCCACACAACAGTCCTGCAGGAGCAGCTCCCACTGCTGCAGGCACAGTGCTGCTACATCAGTCACCAGAGGCAATACCAGGGAACTTTTATACAAGTTTTTAATACAAAAATTCAACAAAAATATATATATATATAATCAGGCATTTTATGCAATGCATACATTCCTTGTATCTGCAGGTACAGATAAATAACAGAAGGCAAAACCAAGTATTTTGCTTATCTTTGGCCATTAACCAGTAATCACCCCCAAAGAGATATCATAGGGTCAAAGAATAATAAACTGAGTCTGTAAACTTCTCATTACAGACAAAGTATGAGGCAATAATACAGTAGTTAGATTTTTAGAAATGTAAGGAAGTATTTCTTTAATACTGCCCAATATTGAAATTTAACCTGGTTTGCTGCTGTGGAACCTCAGGCCTTCTTTAGCTGACAGAGAGACAACATTCCTGCATTTACATGAGACATCCTCCAACCCTCACCTCAGCCCACTTCCCATCACCAGACGCTGCTCTACAAAGCCAAGCTGTACATCCCTGTGAGACAAACTAGCACGAATTCTGATCTGTGGATCAGTTTCCTGAACCCCAACCAATGTACATACATACAGAGCAGTTAAGCTTCCTTAAGTCAATATTTTTTCTAACTCAGTGTCCCAGAATAATAGCTATCCTTCCACTTTACAGCACAGATGCAGCTGATGGCTCTACCAAAGCAATATATACATGATACACATTAAAAATCATAAAAGCAATTTTTAAAGGTACATTGATAACATGTAGCAGCTGATCTCTATGTATGTACATGTTTTCACAGTTACAGTTTAGAAAATTGAGAACACCAGGAATACTTCTACTGTGTTTTTTATAAATATTAAAAATTCACCTGTCAGGCATATTGACAAAATAGTATTTAGATTATCACTTTAAATAGCTCTTGAGAACCTGTAGAGCCTTAAGCTTAAAGGCTGTAAAGTTCGAGGATTCTTTAAAGTGTTGAGCTTGTTTCAGCAGCTGGGCCACCTGCCTGTTTGATGTAAAAAACCAAACGACTCAAATCTGGTAACAGAGGAACTCCACCACTTTTGATGGGATGGGCAAGTCCTTGACTTGGCTGGTGGGCATCACTCTTCGAATCGCCATGCGACACAGGTGCTGCAGACTGGAGACTTCTCTGGGAGTTGCCCAGAAGTACACGCTGCCATCCTGTGTCCTGAGCACACAAAGGAAACAAAAAACACACCAGAATTATTCCCTTGAATGATTTCAGCTTAGTATTTGGTTAGTTAGAGGAGGGATGTGCTCTAGGCCTCCCATGGCGTAGTTCCAGCTGTTCCAGACTCTGTCACACTAGACACCAGTTCTCTGAAGCTGTAGCAGCACAATGAGCAACTGGCTGATGATCTCTGTGGCAGGCCTGAGCAGCTCTTCCAACAGCTACTGAGTGCACCACTCAAGAGAGAATACCTGCCCTGTGATTAGCTAATGGTCTTTTCCCAATCCACATGGTTGTGGGTCTGCCTTATTTATTCTTAAAGATAAGAAATGAGTTTATCAGCTTCTTGATTTTACTGCTATTCTAGGCATGTTTAAACAAATATCACCAGAAGTAAAACCAAGTCAGAAGGACCAAGCTGCAAGTCACAACTGAAGATGTTTAGAACACGTAGCCACTGTTTTTAGCTTTTTATGTTACCTTAGTATTAAGGAAGGGGGAAAAAAAAAGAAGCATGTACTTGCCCTGCTGCTAGAACACTGCCATCAGTGGAAAACGTACAGCAGAGCCCATTGTTCAGAGGTGCAACTTGTACAGGGTATTCCTCATCAATCCTCCAGAATCTCACCATTCTGAAAAAGGAAGAGCCATGTAGTAAGTGATCAGAATACACATTTAATTCTGCCTGATATTTCCTGACTAGTTTTTTGGGCAAAATCAAAGAAGTGGAGCTCAGAGGATTTTTATAAATATTTTAATATGCAAGCCTATTAAAAAGTCCTTGCATATACATGTTGGATTTCACCTGAAATGTTACTACTTCATTCCTGTAAGTCCCCTGAGCAATACTTCTTCAACCATTTTAATTCAGCCAATTAAAAGACTGCTTTCCAACAGCAGAAAGCAACACCCTGAACTATAGATTCAGACAGTCTCTCTTAAGTGTCATACATGCTGGGAAATCCCAACAATGCTTGTCTTGATGAAAAAAACTAAAACCCTCCTGTAAGTAGCTTAATACCATTGCTGTCATCTTGAGAAAGCATTTTTTCTATTCTGAAAATATAGTTCTTCAAAGTATCATTTGCAGTGTTAGCAGAAGCTCAATAGAAGCTCACAGAGCATTTCTTTCTACTCCTGAATCTACTGCTGTACAAGACCTGCATCATTCTCTCCATTGTTTAGAACCCCTCTTTTTCTGTTTTCAGCTGTTAAATGCTTCAGTGACCTCACAACTCATTGTTTCTCCATTCAGAATGACCATTAACACATACCAGAGAACTCATCTGCTTTTACCATGGCCATCAGAAGTCATTCCTCAGAAAAGCTGACTTAGGATTTAAAAGTTGATGTCCTATGGGAGGAATCAGGAGTCTGAGGAACCTTTCCTCATACTTACTTATCATCAGCAAGGCTGGCGAGGTGCAGTCCATCCTGGCTGAAGGACACGGATCTGACCCAGCGGTCATTGGCACCGCCGGCGAATATTGGCGTGGGGGGGGGAAACAGATGCCTGCAGAGAGAGAGACACTGAGCCAGCAGCACCACCCCAGAGCTGCAGAGCTGCTGCCTGCAGCTGGGACTAGCAAAGCTGAGGAAGAACAAAGGGACAGCACGTTTAACTCTGAAATCAGGAGTGGAGACTGAACTGCTGCACCTTTTGTAGTGCTGAACGCTTCAGCTTCGTTGAAGACACTTAAATTAGTGCACGTTAAAATATCCCTGCTTTAAATTCTCTCTCAGAATAATTATCAGTTTAATACACAAACCCATTAATTTCAGTAGTCATCTTCATTCTAGGAGAACGTTTCCAGACACGGTTATTTTACTCACCCAAACTCCATGAGAATGACTCCAGTGTGTGGGTCCCAGAGGCAGAGGCGGGTGTCGTAGGACGCGGTAGCCAGCAGAGCCCCGTCAGGGGAGAACTCACAGGCTACGACATCGTGGTGGTGTCCGTCCAGTTTCCGTAGCATGGAGTATTTATCCATGTCCCAGAGAAACACCTGCAATTAAACAAGCTAATGTTATAGCTCTGCTCAGAGAGGCAGTGAAGCATTTACTTTCTTTTTTAAGGATAGTTACTAGTCTTAATTTAGGATTATATTAAAATCAGGCATAGTGAATTACTACAATTAAGAGATATGCTCAGTGTCATACTTGGATTAAAATCAAGTTTTTAAAAATAATTAAAGCAGACATGCAAGTTCTAACTCTTTTGTTAAATGTTATTAACAAAATAAGCCAAAATATAAGATAAAGGCAACATAATTTAACCGTGTAGCTTACTGAAATTCAGGTATTACAAAACTATTTTATTAAAATATGCAGAAATAAATAGGGTTAAACTCTACAGTCCCCTCTTTTCAGTAACTACCAAAATTTTAAGAAATATACAGACAGAGAATGTAAGGTTAACATATTGTTACTCCAGTGGCATCCCTTTGAGTTTAAGATCACTTGTTTACAATTGGCTTGGATCACCAACGTCAGTCTAGAAAGAGAAACAGATACTGCAAGCAAAAAGAATTTTCACAGCCAAAAGTTAAGTCTTTGGCAAAACAACAGGGAAGTGTAGCCACATTACTAGAAAGACTTTATGCATTTAAAATCAAGTCAATGGTAACAAAACAACATTAACATTACAATTTATCCAGCTAATTGAATACTGTATTATGAAAATTGATTACATATTATAGTATTCTGGGATTTTACATGCACTTGTACATTATGTATAATAAAAGTATAGACTGTGCAGAATTATTTAATAGGAATTATCTATGTACTGCAGCATAATTTTAGAGAAAATATAAGTCTTTAGCATAAGATATGTCCCTAAAAGAGCCCAACAGAATCCTTGATTTTTTTTTTTTCCCCTCCCGACTCCATTTTACTGCAGATTAAATCCTGACATCTTGGATAAATTTGTACATTTGAGCAAAGCAAGGACAGCCTTAGTGCCTCCCACACTGCCTACAGCTGAACCATTTTACAATTGGCTATATAAACATGCTGACCAATTTCTTCAAGGAGACCTAAACATTCCATAAAACTGGAAACTAAATTTAGGAGTCAGGATGTCTCACTGCTGTGAAAATTATTAAAAAAAAAAAAACAAAAACAAAAGGAAAGAAAGAAAGCAGAAAGTGGACATCAACCAGCACCTGTGTACGTACAGTACACCTTGCAGTGGAAGGCAAGGTTACTTCGTCCTACGGGAAAGTTCTCCCCCAGGCTGGCAGCCAGAGATGCCACTCTCTGCCCAGCCAGCACCACTCTGCTCCTGGGAGTGGTGCCAGCTTAACCTCAATCACACCAATATTGCTGCCACCACCTGTGACAGGGAAAGCAAGAAGCTTATGGAAAACACACAGCCTGAAGATAGCAATGTATACATCCCCATCTGCCCTAGTTCACCAAACCCAGCCCTCGGCTGCTCCCTGCTGAGCCTGCCCTGACTAGAGCATACAGTGCACCCCAACAGTCAGACATGTCAAGTGGTACCCAGAGCCTGAACTGTGCTTTTCACTTGCCATCCCTAGGCTGCACTCTGCTACCTACAAAGCCCCTCCAGCTAGACTGAATTCCCCTTTCTGTTTTACCCTTATTCTTCAGTGCCAAGAAAAGCAGCTTATGGCATATGTGCTTTACCTGCACTGCTTTCAGTTCTCTAGCAGGGCTCTAGAACAGGGATGAACACAACCCATATGCTGCTCTTCATTTGAGATCTTTTAGACAAGTGCATTGGAAATATGGAGAAACATTTTTGTTCAGCAAGAGGTCACATAACTGGCTCAGACTTTGAAAAGTCCTTTTCATTGAGCAGGAAATAGAAAGGATAAGATCAATAATAAAATAGTTCTATGCATTACTCCAAGTATCTTTTAATGCTGGAAGCTTTAGTCTTCTTTGCTTTTATACTATGAACGTGTGCAGGTGTGTAAACTACTTCTCAAAGAATGCTGACACAGTTTCCTTCAACTAAAAGCAGTGCAAGTTCAATTCATAAATCAGTGTCTCAATACACCATTTACTAGTTTAATTTCATGCACTTTTACATCATCATAAAATATTAGAAGTTCATGACACCGAGCACAAGCTTAATGTTACTTAGATTTAAAATGATTATGCACACAATTCAGTAGATTTAAGGAACAAGAAACTCTGACACATACTGCTTTACTAGCTCCAACAGAACAGAGAATAGAAGAGTCTGGAGAGAACGCACAACCATATACCCAGTTCTGGTGTCCTCTCAACACTTTCATCATATTTCCTGAAAAGAAAGACATTCCTGTAAGAATTGATGAAATATGACAAATTCAAAAGCTTTTCCAAGTTAGTTTTTTCTTTATAAAATTTTATACTATTTTTTCCAGACAACATCTTACAAAGTCATTCTATGCAGAGATAAAAATTGTCATGCAGCCTCTAAATCCTACATGCCTATTTAAAACATCCCTCCCTGCATGCTTTTAACTTAACCCAGCACCATGTTCTATCTGTAGGGTATATACAGGTAACCAATTTCTAGGGAGCAAGAGAGTGACTAATGAAACAAAATTAATCTGAGTTTATAACAGTAAAAGAGGAGAGTATGTGGGTATTTCTCCTGTGTATTACAGCAGATAAAATGCATACGTACCATCATCTTTCAGGTCCCACACTCTCAGTGTTTTGTCTCTGGATGCAGACACTAAAATCAGGCTGCCATCTGGGGCAAAGGTTAAATCTCTCACAACTTCTGTGTGGTCCATCAGGTTAAGGAGGAGTTTTCCTGTTATATGAAAACACCACAATTTAAAATGGACTGTACTTTTATTCAGATCCAATGCTTCACAGGTACAAACACAGAATACAAAATTACAGGAGATAAAGATGAGTTTTGTTTGAAGAAATGCTCCCTACAGTAAGAAGCACGTGTATCTGTTTAGACCCTTCCTATATTGAGGGGCAATTTCCTGAAAAGCCAGTAAATCTAGACACTAAACACATATGCCTCAGAAATAAGGCAAGACTTGTCTTCTGATAGACATCTCCAGGTTCCAAGCTTAAATTTACAAGTCAATAGTCAGTTTCATTTCTTTTAAAGCTGAGTAGCTCCCTCCCAAACTAGCAACTAGCAGCTGTTACCAGCTACATTGAGATCCCCCAACCTCAGATTCAGTTTCTTACCATGTGAACAATTATTTACTTTTTAAAAAAAAATACAAAGTCTCCATCCATGTAATCCTTGCCCAACTCAGGAACAGAGCGCAACTCTGTATCTGAAAGTCTCCTTTGTTTGAAAGTGTATTAAACATCCAGTGGAAGATTTTAAACAACCAATATATACAAAGTCAACCCCATACTTAACCATTTTGCAGCAATAAGGATTCCTCTTCCATCTCAAAGCATGCCCCAAGTCTGTTCCTTCCTCTAGCAGCATCTGAACATTTTTAGTCGCAGGAGTTTGTGCTTTTTTGGAAATGACTTGATTTGTATTTAAGGCTGAGGTCACAACTAACATCCTGTAAGCAACTCCCTCTGTGTATTAACGACGTCACTGCTGATAAGGTGCCAGTGAGGTGGCAGCCTCCTCTCCAGTACTCTACCTGTGTACACATCCCAGATCTTGATGCGCCCGTTGCTCAGGCCGGTGGCGAGCAGCAGCTGGTCCTGCCCGAACTGGAAGCGGTGCCACTCGACGTTGACGCAGCGGCTCTGCTTCTCGGGCACCGAGGAGCCGAAGGCCAGGCTCCAGACGATGTCGCCGCAGTCGAGGACGTGCTCACAGGGCTTGCTCTTCTGCCCACTGTCACTGCTCTGCCTCGGCAGCCTGGTACTGATGGAATCTGCAACATTCTTTGTGCCGTGCAATGAGCTGCAAACCAAACCCAAAAAACCGGCATGAACTATCTTGAGAGATAAATACACAGCAACAAGGTCTTAAAGATATCACAAAATCTGTGAGTTGTCACAATGGCCTGTGAGATCCTGGGGCCAGCACGTGAAAACCAATTCAGCCACCACCAGAAAGAAGAAAAAATATGGGGAGGTAGGATGTGCTGGGAGGGGAAATGTAACCAGCTACAAGAATGCAACGAGCTGGTTACCAACTTCATTGAAATATACCCTGCGAGTGAAAATAAAATGCATTCTGGAACGTAACTTGCATTCTAGTAAGAATGATAAGGAAAGTAGATCAAGTAAATTACTAAAAGGTAAAACTAAAGTTTCCTGATGGGCAGATCTGGACTTTAAAATTTCCTAAGTCTTTAAATTTCCTTTTCATTTTAACTTCCTCTTATTTTAGAGCATCTAAATCCATTAATAAATCGCTCCTCCATAGCCTTTGTGACGTTGTAGTGAAGTTGTTTCACTGGCCACAGAGGAAGAGATAAAACAATGACTGTTACTTAAAAAAAACCAATCGTTTTTCCCAAAGACATCAAACCTTATCAGCCAGCACATGTGTTTTAATCTATTAAAAGCTATCTCCTGTTTTGAAATTCTTAAGTTTTTCAGGTGAATTAAAAGGCGCATGGTTTTGTCTTACAAGTTACTAAGGCACTGAGACCAGGGGACCAGCTTCACTATGCGATGCCCTTGAGACCAAGCAAAGTAAGATCCATCGGGAGCAAAGGCAACAGTCCAGTTTTCACGTCCACACTTCTTGTCAAAAGGAGAAGTTGGGGCTAAGAGTTCTCCTACAGTGCGTGATCGTGCTAAAAAGAAAACAAAGAGGAAACTGTTATTTAAAAAAGAAAGCATGTTTTAAAAGGTTACAAGGGAACCAGGCGGTATGTTAATTACTTTGCTTTTTTTTCATGATATTTAAAGTCATTGGGGAAGGGGTCTTATTGTCACTGCACAACCAATTGAGAGCTAAGCCTCAATTGCAAAAATGCCCGAGTCACTAAAGAGAAACAGTGGAGTGTTAAAATGTCCTGGTCGTCGTGTTAAGTAATATCTTATTTTGATCCTGGAAGTAGAACTCAAAAGTTGTTATAGCACAGCTATGACTTCAATTATTGTAACTATAGCTCTAGAAACAGCAGAACGAAGCTCCAACTTGACCTAATACTTCAGTGTTTAGCGAATTAGACGCCAAATAATGGGGGTTTTGCCTTTCAAGAACAATGTGAGTACACCTGCACGCTGTCATACCCTGCCTTGCCTTCAGAAATCGTAAATTAAGCATCGATCATAGGGAGTTAGCCCCGTGCGGCCGGA